CTCATCCATTCATCATTCATACCATGAGTGATGTCGAGGAAAGTGTTGCAGCTCAAGGTTTCCTTTGTCATTACAACGGTCCATTATGGCTGTTCCCTCCTAGCAAGCAAGTGAAAGTTACACAGAATTTGTGCCTTCCTGCCTCAGGAGCATAACTCACTCAAGACTGGAGTATTCTTTGATTTTCTCTCTCGTCAATAACCTGACTCAAGAAAATGCCTCCACAGTTACATTCACTGTGTGAATTATAGGCTAACTATCCAACTAGCACACCCACAAATTATTGACCTGCTAACAGTTGTTCATGTACTTAATCTGTGGGACTTATTCCCAATAAAATAATCTATCTTATACAGAAGAGTTTTATGGCAACTGTAGCACCCCTGTAATCAAAATTTAATCTGAAATGTGAGGGAGACATTAAAAACCAAATATCAATAATAATAATAATAATAATAATAATAACAATAATAATAATAGAAAATTTGTATTCAAACTTTAGTCTGAACATAACTGACTACACAAAATCATAATAAAAAAATAAATACATATACTACATAATTCCAAGTCTTCTAGCTCAAAAGAATTTTAACAAATTGAAATACTCTTTTTTTAAGTGTTATGAGTGAGCAGACTGGTGATTATGAGTTTTGATGAGATGCATCTTCTCTCTGAACTGTCACAGCCAAACAAAATGTACATGTACAAATATGTACAAAAATTAAAAGGCAAAATAAACTTAATGTTGTTGGATGCTTTTGCTCCAAAACTTATCAAAAAGAGAACTTATTTGGCTTCTGTGTAAAAGATGCATTCAGATACAAACACTTACTGATGGACCTACATTATTGAAGAGTTCTGCCTCAAGGACCTCATTCCTGGCAAGAGGCTGTGACCAGTCGTCTCTGTCATTTCCACGGTCCTGCCATCGGCCGCCTCCCTGGCCACCTGAAGAGCCACGGTCACGATCATCTTCGATCCATCTATTATTGCGCGGAGGGCCACTCCCTCCTATGTCCCGACGGTCTTCGTAACCCCGGCGGTCATCCCTGAAAAGATAATGTTGTTCATGATTATTTGGGATATTTAGAATGCATGGGTATCACCCCTTTCTAACATGGAATCAAACAAAGATGAAGAAAATAAAATTAATTTATATATAAAGATGTTTACTACTGTCTTCACCCTCCCTATTACAGCAGGAAATATTCAATAAACATAGAAGGGTCTCTTTAATGCCCACTACTTGATACAAGACTTAGGTATGAATAAATGAGTAGAAAAACTATCAGGATATTGTTTCATCTTTTTTTATCATATTATATTGTATCCAAAAACATCATACCACTAAAAAAATCTAATTGCATCACAAACACAAGTGCTTAAATCTTTGTAAAAGGAAATTCCATTGCTCCTGTCTCACCTGCGGTTGTCTCCTCGTCCTCCCCTCCAGCGGTCATCGTGATCCCTGAAGCGCTGACCATCATTGTTCCTGTAGCCACCACCACCTCCTCCTCCTCCTCTGTTATCTCTCTGCTGATAACTTGGCTGGTAGTCCCCGTTCCTCCGTCCACCTGCATTACAACCCAATAATTCATGAGGATTGTGCTTGAACATAAGGCATTTTCTACCAAAGCCATAGCTGTCTATATGAACTTCAGTGAACATAGATTTGCAATTAATGACAGCAACAAAGAGGAAATATCATTACAATAAGGTCTTTATCAACATCTTACCTCAGACACTTTAAAAACAATTCAGTTTTACAATAATTGGTATCTTTCATGAAGTCAATTTTTCATGAAGGTTCATTTACAAAGCATGTTAAAAGTTATTATGTCAATAAAAGCCCTACCCATGACTCCCATAGCATTTGCTTAGTAACAGAAAAAAGCACCAAAAGGAGGAGAGAAAAAAAAATAAAAAAAAAAAAATAAATAAAATAAATAAAAATAAATAAATAAATAAAAAGAAGAAAAAAATCAAACCTATTTACAAACAAAGCAACACAAAATAACACTACAAAGACCATAAAAAGTGAAAACACTTTGACACTGGCAAGGAGGGGGGTGGGCATAAGTCCTAAAATATAATCATCAACTTTTGCTCTTTTAAAATCATATCATCAAGGGGTAAAAATAAATAAATAAACAAATAAATAAATTCATAAAATAAAATAAATAAATAAATAATAATATTAATGATTACTTAAACTTAAGGCTGACATTACAATACTCCCTATGAAAATGTTGGCTTGAGAAATAGACCCACTCTTCTAGAATATGGGGATTACTTTAGCTAGCCTTAGTAATAGAACACACACATTTGTTCACTCACTCGCTTGCTCACTCTCTCCCATCATATACAATTTTCCTTTTGTAATGGAAGGCAAATAAATATCAAATAAGTATATAAAAAAGGAGGCAGGAAATTGGGGGGAAAAACAAAAAGTCATGTAAAGAAATAGTATATAGTATCAGCAAGCAGAGCCCTTTTTGGT